ACAGAAGATAGTCTGGAAGAAGGAGGCAAGGCAAGCACTGCCCGACCTGGTCTCAACAGCTCATGAAGATGGTGATAGAATACATACTTTTGGGCACATCTTACATTGTAACCTAGGACAAACAGGCATGCCAAGCCTGTGAGTGTTGGAAGGAATCTTTTCTAGTCTCATTCTGGACTGCTTCAAAATGTCTGGTACTTTCATTATCTCCGCTATTGACAAGCCCTTTGGAGCCACCCTTTAGTCTCAGAGATCCTGCCTCAAAGGGTTGATTGGAAACTATCATGAAGGATTTTGTCTTTGCCTCATGCAATTCCTTGTTTGAGCGGGAGACTAGAGGAAACCAAAACAAAATAGCACAGTGAAAGACATTATTACTCTCTGGATCCTTCAGAGAATGACTGGTCAGCATGTTCCCCTCTTGTGACTTTTGGAGAAGCATTCTATAACTTTCCTGACCTCAAGTCAGCAAGTATACTTCAGACTTCTCAGAAAAAAAAAAAAAAGATCTGAACAGCTCATGTCTCTTCCATTTTGTATAATGAGACTGTTAAAGAAACAGCTATTTACTTCTCATAAAATTCTGTTATTCCTTTTGAGAGTCTGATATTAGAAACACAAACTACATCATAATGAACAGCAGTATTTTCAGTTAGCCCTGTGACTGGTCACTTGAGCTACATTTAGTATTTTCAGTTTTACATAAAAATCGTAACAATCAATAAATACATAGTGAAGATATGTGGGTAATTTTCATGGAAAGGCATTGGTCTTTGGGAAAATAAGAAATACGAACAAAAATTCTGTTAATGTCCATTTGAAATTTGAATGTTTTATTTTATTTCCAGGAAAGAGTTAATGATCTTCAGTGTTGGGACAGTTTTAATTAAATCTAGAAATTATCACAGATTTCTAGAGAGACAGGAAAGTGCTGCCTCCCATAGCTACAGCGAATGACTGAGACAGGGCCTCTCTGTGAGTTAAATCTGAGAGGGCCTCTCTGTGAGGGAGGATTTAAATTTAGGTTTTACACATTACAAATGAACGTCTTTACAAGTCATTTATTTGAATATTTTCTTCTCGAGAGCAAGGAGTCAGATAGGACATCTTTCTGTTTGGCTGTTTGGACTTAAATGAGGCCTATTGTGAATCTGATGGGATAGTTGAGATATTTTCTTCATAAATATAAATTATCTTGCATTTTTATGTCCAAACTCTTTCTGAATTAGAACAGCTCAGGTATTTTAAGCTAAATTTTATGATTAATAAATTGTTAAAAAAAAAAAGAAATAAAAACCTCTCACTGGTAAACAGCTCAGAATTCTTGACATAATAGATGAGTCTATTTCTTAGCACAGCATTAGACAAGCTATAAATGGGAGCCCAATTTGTTCTTAAAATGTAAGATAAATGTCGATTTTAATGCATGCACAGTGTTTAAACAGAAGCTCAGCAAAATATAGTTCTGTAAATTCAAATTGCAATCAGATTTCAGTTTTTTAATATTTTAACAAAAATAAAAGGAAAAGTGATGTAACAACTGGACTTGTGAGTTGTTCAAAGATGTGGAATATCACAGGACGTGCTTTGCTTGTAAATTTCCTTACTTCCCTTCAGGAGAGAATAAGGGAAATTAAAAAAAAAAAAAAGAAAAGAAAGATTTTAATAGTGACCTCTGGTAATAGTAATCCTTAATACAGTATATGTCTTTTTGGTCTAAAACAGCTCAATATTGAAAATAGTGATGATTTTTAACCTCTGTGAATCACAACACAGGAGAGTAAGCTCTTTTTCTCTTATGTCCTAGTATCTAATTCCTTAATTCAGAGACATTATGGGAAGAAGAAAAAAGAAAATTAAAATGAAAAACTGCTTTGGCTGTGGTTGAAATGTCAGCTTTTTCTGATTGTTTGAATGGATTAGTCTTGCATTTCTAGAAAACAAAAGGAAAAAAGTGTATGTATTGTCTCATTGAATAACTACACAGAAGAAAGAAAATAAGCCTTTAGACTTTGTGTTATTCCTCACATGTTATGTGGGAGAAATAAAACTTCCTATATAACATAATCCGGTCATTGTCAATATAAACTTAAGTTTATTTTCCTCAAAGGAATCACCACTACAGTTTGCAATCCTATTGTAAACTTATTTAATCTTAGAATATATATGCTGCAGAGTAATGCAAATTGCTATTTAATACTTCCCTGTTCCTAACAGAAATATAAAATAAATTAATGAACAACATATGAGTTAGAATTTACTAAACTTATATTTCTTTATGAATTGATTTAATTGAGTAGTATACTTAGCTCTTTTTTTAATAGTAAGAGTTTTATCAGGCTATGATAAATTTCCATGCCTTTAAAATTTTTAAATTTACGTTCAGGAAAGGGAAACAGAGAAAATAGAATACAAAAAAAGTCTAATAGTATGAGAGTTAAGAGAATGAATTCATTGTCCTTCAATAAACAGAGGAGAATTTAAAGAAATATATAGCTTATGTAAATCCTGATCAGCTATTTTTCTTAGACATCATCAGTTAAATTTACTGTAGATTTTATCTACAAAATACACATTGACATTGACAAATCATACATTGAGTTCCTCACATTTCTTGCCCTAAGTACTACTTTTCCACTCTCTGGGGTGGTAGGAAATATCAGTTTATCCTTGGTTGAAGGCTTGAATACTTATACTGAGTTCTGTTCAGGCAGACTTGTCAGGTCCACACAGAATGATATAGGTCATAGTGGAATTCTGCTATGCCGTAATGTCATAATGAAAAAGTAAAATAATTCCATGCATATGTAACTTCTTTTAGTGCTATGCCTGTGTTCTGAGACGGTTTGAAACTTAGTGGTAGTATATATATACCTGTACAAACTACGTGCTTTGCTTAGAATGATAATAAATATTAACCTACCTATCTTTATAAATTGACTGAATTACTGAGGTGTCAATTATTAAGAATGAGTGCTTTTGCTCAACATGGAAGCACATTTAAAAAAATAGCATTCTGAAACTTGAAATCTGTCCTGTGACTGCCTGGAGCTGAACTGGAATTTTTTAAAGCCTTTTCAGGAATTAGAACTAACAGACAATATATAGAAAAAGTAACTTCTCACATGAAATTCTCAATGGACTGTCTATGGAAAGTAGTCAGTTACTTTGGTGATACTGAAGAAACCAGCTTTTAATAGTTGTGGTCCTGTAAACATGGCTTCCAGTAAAAACATTGCTTAATTCTATATCTGCTAATGGAACTTCATCACTTGCGTACTTTTAAGTTAAATACCCTTTTAGTCCCCTCTACTAAATAACTATCTAACGCTGGAAGAGCTGAGAGTTGGGTGTGTCATGTTTATCTTATATCTTGCATAAAACAGTGTAAGAGCATGGTAATGCAGGGTTAAAATAAACGTATCAAGTCAGTAAAATTAGTTCACAATAATCTGAAAATCAGTTGAATGAGGGAGATGAAATTTTCACATGCGTAAAGCTAGAAATGGGACTCCTAAGAAAGAAAGTATCCATGCTGTGTGATATATGTCAGACCCCCAAGCTTCTTCCTTCCTAGTAGAGAAGCCAGATTCCCAATGGGAATCTATTGATTTAAATAACAGGGCAATGTTGAAGTGGCAGTGGCGCTTCCTATGGATCGTACAGCTGTGGATGTGTCTTCTGTTGGGTTTTATTGGAACATTAGGCCCTGTAGAAGGCATATCCTGAGCTGCAGACTTTCTTCCCATTTACGACTGCATAATCCATGTGCAGAGCAGCATTACATGGTGAGACAGGCTGAAGAGTTGTTTCTCTCCCTGTTGCTAGTGAAGAATTGAAAATAAAGTGGTCTAGAATATAGGGATGCACCCTTTCTGATTAGGAAAGCACATAGGAACATATTTAGGCCGTTCTTACACATTTAAGTTCCTGTCTCTTGCGATAACTGTGTGTTTTCCTGCAAGGAGTTGCTTTTTCAGTTGAGGATTTAAGAGAAGAGATGCCCAAAAGAATTTTAATATCCCTGTCCCTGTCTATTAAACATATTAATTAAAGATATGAAGTTGACTTAATTTGGGATACAACAGTCCCTATATTTTTTGGTATTTAGCATTAACCAATAAAAATCAAAAGGTGATAAAATTCGGAGATGTTACAGTATCATGGAAGAAGAATCTGACGTTCATTATAAACCCTAAGGTTTTTTCCAAAACTGGTACCTTGCCCACAATTCTGTTGTA